GGCAACAGCATCGGAGAGAGAATACAGACATATGTATGTATATGACATAGCTGACCATCCAGGACAAGTCATACTGGTCACCCGTAGTATCAGATTATATGGTACTATGGTTCAACCCCATGTCAAATCATTCCAAGGATATATTTGATCATCACCATTTTATAGTCCCAGCTGTCTAGGGTATTGGTAACACTTCTTTTCCCCGGGATATTATAATAACACCAAGATGGAGATTTCACCAAGGTAACATGCCCCCCGGGGAGCATGTTACCTTGGTGAGAGAGCTTTCACCCTAGCGAAGTTCTCACAAATCTTACGTTTCGTGAAATATCTGATACCACCTTAGACCCGCTTTTATCGGAACCCCCTTTACAAACAAACATATAGTGCTGCAGCTTTTGTTTATGAAACTTTTATTGTTTGGAGATTATTTAAGAGATTTGTGTGCGCACTGCTATGTGGAGGAGTATAATAAAATGAAACGTCAATATTTAAAGAAATAGTGTATGCTTTCCAAATCATTGACTAGCTTTTCAATAGCTGGATAAGATTTGTGTGTTCAATTACTTGAGGGTTATAATCATTATTTTAAAATTATTTTATAGTTTGAATGAAATTGAATTAATTCAAATTACAATAGATTTTATGAACCATACATTATCATACTTTAGTGGGAGCCATGATATTGAAGAGGAATAAATATAGACTGGGTATTCTAAACTGATATTAGGAATAGCAAGATATTATGTAAAATAAAAATATTCTACTCAAAAGCTTTTTTACTCAAAGTTCTCTATTATGTTTTTCTGTTTGACAGGAAAATATTAGAGTAATTTTGTTAAAGTTGCATTTTCCTGAGTTCCACTAATTTGATCATTCAATGGGTAAATAAGATTATTTACGTTTACATAATAGATAAGGGGGGGTATCCACATCCAACCACTATTAATTTCAATTCCAAAGACAAAATTTCAACGTCATATGAAAAATACTTGAGACTTTTATTTATTTTGAACTACTATTCATATTGGGGTCATTCATATTCTTCATGTCACAGCATTTCTTTTTTTGTTCATAACGAACAAAATGATGAAACTCTTGAAACAGTATGTTGGCCCAGTTGAATAAAACACTTACGGTCGATTTGCTCTTTTTATGCATTTGGTTTCTTCATCATTGTTGTCATCATCAACACTGGCAACCACACTTCATCATCATCATCATCAGCATCGCCTTTCCTATCGTCATGTGTGTTCATTTGGGTAACATGTATGTATTCCACATAAGAAAATAAAATAAACTATAGTTTGAGTATAGTATTTTAACCATTCTATGAGATGGCTTTTCTTTTTTTCTATTTTGTGTCCTTTGTGCAAATTATTTGTTGTAGTTGTTGTTGTATGTTGTCTGTTGCCACATGCCAGTACATGTTTTCATGCATCTGTCTCTCTGGATTGGATGGTTTTAAAACATTTAATGTGTGAGAGACTTTTTAAGTAATTCATTGCACAACAGTTTATTGAAGGAATTAATTCATTTTTAAATGAAAACTTAAAACATCTTCAATATCAAGAAGTTATCGTGATATCTTCGTCACAGCTAGGAATCGTGTCCCTTAGGATCTTCTACAAACTTTAGCTAGTTAGATATTCTACATTCACAGATAACACAACCAACATGTTTTTAACTTTAATCTGATCTGCTCTGAACTCGAATCTGGACTCAGAATTTCTCCATCATATCTGTTTTTCATAAATAAACTTTCTGGGCCATATTTGTGATGTTATAATAGAGCTAAGAATTCCTGGTATAGAAAATTTTATATATCATCTGAAAGTCCATTCAGTCGACTTTAAAATAAAGGTATAAACTACGTTATATTTGGTTCCTTCTTTAAGATATCTTTACCTAAAGCTTGACACAAACATTGTTTCCTGGATTTCGATTTCTTCAAATTTTCTTGGACTGTGTTATTTACCGAATTTCTATCTTAAAATATTGTACTCACTTCCAATTCCACGAAGATTGATCCTCGTTTGTAAAGAAATTGTAGAACCAAAGAATCCTCTTCTATAAGTAAATACAATCTGTAAAGAACTGCAATCTCTTTGGGCTAGTGAATCGACCGTTTTAAATCAAGCAGTAATTGATATTGGTCTCACCATGTTTTAAGCAAATTTCGCAAAAAAAAAAAAAAAAAAAATTAGATCGACATGGAACACTATGAGTTAATTTAGCGTACGCATCCTGAATCCAAACTATTACTATTCAAATATTCAAAATTGTCCTTATCTAATAGCATAAAGTATCATTATTATTCTGAATTCGAAGTCTTAAAAAAATCTAGAATGTAATAACTCGACCAGGAATGGCGCAGTTTTATATATCGTAAGATCCATAGCTCCATAGAATGATATCTGTTCATTAAAACTATTGAACCAAGGTTAAAAGAGGCCATAAACTAATAGTCTTTGCTTTAGACTATTGAATCCGTGCAGCTTAAAAAAACGGTTGTTCATTGAGAGAATATTCGATTTTGAATGATTCTCTGTACGGAACTGGAAAATCAATCAACAACTGACCATTTTAAAGCAACCTTTGTCTTTTAAGTAGGGCTCTTAGGCACTTGATCGAATTTTACGAATTTTGTTAAATCGCAAGGAAGTGTAATCACTCGAACACGACTGATGGAGCTTCTTTAGAAGTCAAAAGAGAGATCAGTGTTCTGCTTTGAGTAATTGAAATTTTTGAATTTTTCCTAAAGTCTTACTCCTCATTCAAGAAAAATTGATTGAGAGTTGTAGACACTAAGTTAGTTAGTTAGTTAGTTAGTTAGTTAGTTAGTTAGTTAGTTAGTTAGTTAGTTAGTTAGTTAGTTAGGTAGTTAGTTAGTTAGTTAGTTAGTTAGTTAGTTAGTTAGTTATTAGTTAGTACTTAGTTAGTTAGTTAGTTAGTTAGTTAGTTAGTTAGTTAGTTAGTTAGTTAGTTAGTTAGTTAGTTAGTTAGTTAGTTAGTTAGTTAGTTAGTTAGTTAGTTAGTTAGTTAGTTAGTTAGTTAGTTAGTTAGTTAGTTAGTTAGTTAGTTAGTTAGTTAGTTAGTTAGTTAGTTAGTTAGTTAGTTAGTTAGTTAGTTAGTTAGTTAGTTAGTTAGTTAGTTAGTTAGTTAGTTAGTTAGTTAGTTAGTTAGTTAGTTAGTTAGTTAGTTAGTTAGTTAGTAGTTAGTTAGTTAGTTAGTTAGTTAGTTAGTTAGTTAGTTAGTTAGTTAGTTAGTTAGTTAGTTAGTTAGTTAGTTAGTTAGTTAGTTAGTTAGTTAGTTAGTTAGTTAGTTAGTTAGTTAGTTAGTTAGTTAGTTAGTTAGTTAGTTAGTTAGTTAGTTAGTTAGTTAGTTAGTTAGTAGTTAGTTAGTTAGTTAGTTAGTTAGTTAGTTAGTTAGTTAGTTAGTTAGTTAGTTAGTTAGTTAGTTAGTTAGTTAGTTAGTTAGTTAGTTAGTTAGTAGTTAGTTAGTTAGTTAGTTAGTTAGTTAGTTAGTTAGTTAGTAGTTAGTTAGTTAGTAGTTAGTTAGTTAGTTAGTTAGTAGTAGTTAGTTAGTTAGTTAGTTAGTTAGTTAGTTAGTTAGTTAGTTAGTTAGTTAGTTAGTTAGTTAGTTAGTTAGTTAGTAGTTAGTTAGTTAGTTAGTTAGTAGTTAGTTAGTTAGTTAGTTAGTTAGTTAGTTGGTCGGTTAGAAACGTCTTTCATAGACAAACTACCGATGGATCCTTGATATCTTTTCAATCTAATTACGAAATAAACAAGATTTAGTTGGGCTCTAATTAGCAGGACTGTTTTTCACTTATGTGAAAATTTCATTGAAATATAAAGATTGAACACAGAAGTCTTCCTTCATTCGTTTAAATCGCAAGAAGTGCAGTCCATAATCCGAATCGTGATGTTTACATAATTCATACCTTTCTTGTGCTGCAACTTGCAGTTATATTTTCTAGTATTCCCTACAAACAATAATCATACGTCTATTTACGAGTTTGTAATAAAATGTCTTGCTTAAAAATACACATACTACTATCGGCAAAAGAAATAGGCGACAGAGGTGAATTGGACAAGGGAGGTGCTTGAACATGTTTTTACATGATAACCTGATTATTTTAATTAAACCAACCACATGCAAACGCTAGCAAAGAAATCCAGACGCCAGAGTTGAAGCAAAACCGAGACCCACAATAAGTTAAAGAAGAGACCAAAAAAAAAAAAAACGAACGAAAAAGTCATCATGTCAGGCAATGATTTTTCATTACATTCATTTATTTTATTTTATGTAATTTTAAGGAGAGAGAGACAGTATGGATGGATCTGAGTATTTTGTAGAAATGTAATTGTATGTATTAAAATGTCTGTCTATACTCCAGCAACAGAAATATACAAAAGGGTTCCTTTTATTTTATTTTATATTTTTTGCATTCATTTTGTCGTTGTTGTTAATTTACTGATTAAATTTTATTTAACGTTTTCTGCCACCTTTAATCAAATACAACACATAGTCTTTTCATTTAATGTATTTGTATACAAATATTTGTATATAAATGATGATGATAATCATTATCATCATCAGTTAAGTTTTTATGTAATAAAATCGTATAATATAAAAACGTAAATATTTATATAATTAATGCGGTCGAAAGGTGACAGAGAAAGAGAGAGAGAGAAGGATCATCATTAAATTTGTAATACTTTTATTCAGTAAAATAAATCACAATTACGTAAATCCAAAAGGTCTGGAATATAATTTCTGATGCACAATTTATTTTTCTTAAAGTATTTTTTGTTTAGAAAGATCTAAATTTTGTGAAAATTAATATAATATGATTCATTACGACTGGTTCAGTATCTTACTTCGATTCTGACAACTTTTTCTTTAGAAAATTTGTTCAGATTTTCATTATTTCCTAGAATTCCATTGAAACAATCTCTTACTAATTATTTCAATTTTAATATTTTTTTCAAATATAGATCGAAGAAGAACCGTTTGTACGCAGACTCAAACGTAGTGAAGGAAACGCAATCGTAGGAGGAGTGGAGAAATTCAGTAACGAGGATGCCGAAAAAGAATTGCAAAACTCATTAAGTAAACTAGCCAGTGGTGATGGTCCCTCCTACAAGTAAGTATTACATTTTTCATCAAACTCTTTAAATATAACTTTAAAACTTTTTAAAATCTTTACTTTTAAAAGAATTTCCAAAGTTCATGCTGCCACCAAACAAACTGTTGCTGGTACTTTAACTAAAATCGATTGTGATCTCATTGCTGCCGATGGCAAAGAGGAAAGATGTGAGGTGCAAATATGGTCTCGTGCCTGGTTGAAAGATGGTAATGAGGTAACCATTAATTGTCCCAATAAAGAGTTGGTGAAAAAACGTCACAGCCGTTCTGTAGAATATGCCGAAAAGAAATCACACAAAAAACAAAATCATCACAGTTTAAGTAAAGTAGAACATTTATTTGCGAAATTCCAAATAAAATATAATCGTCGCTATCACACCTCCATGGAAAGACAAATGCGTATGCGTATATTTAAGCAGAATTTGGAAATGATTAGACAATTGAATGAAAACGAAATGGGTAAGGAATGGAAATCCCATTAAATTTCTTTAAAAGAAAAACTACAATCTTTCGTTTCAATTTTAATTACAGGCAGTGCTAAATATGGCATTACTGAATTTGCCGATTTGACCAGCACTGAATACAAACAACGTACCGGTTTGTGGCAAAGAGATCCAGTTAAAGCCGCTGCCACCCCTAAAGCTACCATTCCTGATGTTGAGCTACCCAAAGAATTCGATTGGCGTTCTAAGGGTGTAGTCTCACCGGTAATTTTTTTTTAATTAATGGATTTATTTCTAAAATTTTAACTTCATTTTCTTCTTTGAAGGTCAAAAATCAAGGCAATTGTGGTTCCTGCTGGGCTTTCAGTGTAACTGGTAATATTGAAGGTTTACATGCAGTTAAAACTGGTGTTTTAGAGGAATACTCCGAACAGGAATTGTTGGATTGTGATACCTCGGACTCAGCTTGTAATGGTGGTTTGCCTGATAATGCTTTTGAGTAAGTTTAAGGAATTATTATGAATTATTGTTCAGATTTTAACAACTTTTTCTTTATGAAAGTTGTTCAGATTCTGACAACCTATTCTTTAGAAAAAGTTGTTCATTGGACACCTTTTTCTTTAGAAAAGTTGCTCACATTCTGACAAATTTTTCTTTAGAAAATTTGCTTAAATTCTGACAACTTGTTCTTAAAAAAGTTGCTCAGTTTCTGACAATTTTTTCATAAAAAAAGTTGCTCAGATTGTAAAAACTTTTTCTTATGAAAAGTTTCTCAGATTTGGACTACTTCTCCTTTAGAAGAGTTTCAGAAGTTGTTCATATTCAGCCAACATTTTCTTAAGAAGAGTTGTTCAGATTGCGGCAACTTTTTGTTTAGAAAATTGGTTTGATTCTGACAACTTTTTCTTTAGAAATGTTGCTTCCATTCTGACAACTATTTCTTTAAAAAAGTTGCTACCATTCTGGCAACTTTTTCTTAAGAAAAGTTGCTTCCATTCTGACAACTATTTCTTTAAAAAAGTTACTCCCATTCAAACAACTTTTAAGAAAAGTTGCTCCCATTCTGACACATTTTTCTTGAGAATAGTTGCTCAGATTTTGACAACTTTTTCTTTAGAACAGTTTCAGAAGTTGTTTAGATTCAGCCAACCTTTTTTTTATAAGAGTTGTTCAGATTCCGACAACTTTTTCTTTAGACAAATTGCTCAGATTCTGACAGAAAGAGATTACATGTTTCTACGACAGCAACTGATCTTTTTCGGTAGAAAGGTTGCTCAAATTCTGACAACTTTTACTTTACAAAAGTTACTCAGATCCTGACAATTTTTTCTTAATAAAAGTTGCTCAGTTACTAGCAACTTTTTCTCAAAAAAAGCAGCTTTTTCTTTAGAAAAGTTGCTCAGATTCTAGCAACTTATTCTAAAAAGACATGCTGAGATTACAGCAACTCTTTTCTTAGGAAAAGTGCTCAGATTCTGAGAACTTGTTGTTCAGATAACTTGTTCAAATTCTGACAACTTTTTCTGTAGAAATATAGCTCCGATTCTGACAATTCTTACTTTAGAAAATCTGCCCTTATTCTAACAACTTTTTCTATAGGAAAGTTGCTTGGATGCTAGCAACTATATCCTTAAAAAAGTGTACAGATTCTGACAACTTTTTGTTTAGAAAAATTACTCAGCTTCTGACAAATTGCTCATATTTTGACTTTTTAATTTTTTTAGTGCCATTGAAAAGATTGGAGGATTGGAATTGGAATCAGATTATCCTTATCATGCCCGCAAGGAACAGTGTCATTTTAATAAAACCAAAATTCATGTTAAAGTTAAGGGTCATGTAGATTTGCCTAAAAATGAAACAGCTATGGCTCAATGGTTGATTGCTAATGGACCCATATCAATTGGTAAGGAAGATTTTCTCGTAAATTTTTAATATTTTTTTACTAAAACTATTATTCCTCCCCACTAGGTATCAATGCCAATGCCATGCAATTCTATCGTGGCGGTGTCTCACATCCCTGGAAAATGCTTTGTTCTAAGAAGAATCTTGATCATGGCGTCCTAATTGTTGGTTTTGGTATCTCTGAATATCCCTCGTTCAATAAATCTTTACCCTATTGGATTATCAAGAATTCATGGGGTAGTAAATGGGGTGAACAGGGTTATTATCGTGTTTATCGTGGCGATAATACTTGCGGTGTTACCGAGATGGCCAGTAGTGCTGTATTAGATATTTAAGATTAATGTTGCAAACATAAACGAACGCATAATATTTAAATATACAATTTTATATGTAAAATGAAAGCTAAAACAAAACGATAAAAACAAAACTCCTATAATCCTCAAACATACGTATTTTTTTACAACAAAACAAACAACCACATTTATTCGTACTAGTAATTTTTTATTGTGAATTTTTTAGTTTTTTTTCTGTTATGTTCTGTTTGTGTTTTTGTTTTAATTATATATTTCATATGTTAGTAATTAAATGACAACAACAATATATAAAGCCACAACAAAAAAAAGAAGTCATAAATTGTGCAAAAAAGCAGCAAAATCTCATTATAATCATAATCTTCTTATATACAACAAAAAAAAAGCACAAACAAAAAAAAATTAATCACAGTCATACATATACTTATGCTCAACAAACATACTCACACACACTCATATAAACACTTATTATTAATTGCACACACTATGTACTACATTTAATAACAATAACAACAACTAATTATTATAAATAAATAAACAAAAAATAAGGAATGTCATAAATGAATATAAACAAGTTAGAGTGCTAAATTCGGCTGAGCCGAATCTTAAATACCCTCCACCAGCTACTTTTATATTAAGACTTTTCTAATTGGTCAAATATTTGTAGAAATAAGTTATCTCATGTCTTAAATTGAAAAATCCCAAGATTTAAACAGCTTAAATCTATTACAATTCCAAGATTTATTGAACATTACAAACGCAATTTTCTTTATATTTTTGTAGCGCTTAGCGATATTTAGTAATTTGCATGTATGTATATGTATGAAAAATTAAAGGATTTTCAAAATACATATATATAATCTACACAAATTGATAATGCAACTAGTTAAATACGGTTAAATTTTTGTACATAAAAGCTATATTTCAGTAAAATTTTGTATCTATATCGTAATTTAGTAATAAGTAATGTGTGTTTAAGTGATTTTCGGAAGGGAACCTTGTATGGGACCGACCGCACCCATGTTATGATCGTGAGAAATCTTGAAATAGAATTTTTGTATACAAAACTAATATTTGTGCCAAATTTTGTATCAATAGCTTTATTTGGTAATGAGTAATGTGCGTTTAAGAGATTTTCGTAAAAGGACCTTGTATGAGAGCTATGACGAATTATATATAAAGACAAAATTTCAAAATTCTGTATCTATATCATTATTTGGTAATGAATATTGTGCATTTAAGTGATTTTCTGGAGGGGACCTAGTATGAGAGCTATGACCAAATATGGACCGATCGTAAAACAATTTTATAGTGTAATTTATGTGTATAAGAGCAATAATTTTGCTAAATGTATGGATATCAATATTTGGTAATGAATTATGTGGGTTTAAGTGATTTTCGGGAGGGAACCTTGTATGGGAGCTATGACCAAGGTTGGACTAATCGTGAAAAAATTTTGAAATAACATTTATGTGTACAAAAATAGTATTAATGCCAAATATTTTATGGGTATCACTATTTGCTAATGAGTTATGTGCCTTTAAGTGTTTTCTGAAAGGCACCTTATTAGCAGCTATGATCAATTATGGACCGATAGGAAAACAATTTCAAAATAATATTTCTCTGTATATGAGCAATACTTCTGCCAAACTTTATAGTTAGTAATGAGCGTTTAAGTGATTTTCGGGAGGGGACCTTGTATGGGAGCTATGACCAATTATGGACCGATCGGAAAAAAATTTCACAGTAATATTTCTCTGTATATGAGCAATATTTCTGCCAAACTTTATATGGATATCCTAATGTAGTAATGAGTTATGCGCGTTTAAGTGATTTTCGTGAGGGTACCTTGTATGGGAGCTATGACAAATTATGGACCGATCGGAAAAAACTTTCACAGTAATATTTCTGTGTATATGGGTAATTTTATACCAAATTTTATATGGATATCTTAATTAAGTAATGATTTATGCGCGTTTAAGTGATTTTCGGCAGGGGACCTTGTATGGGAGCTATGACCAATTATGGACCGATCGGAAAAAACTTTCACAGTAACATTTTTATGCATATGGTCAATACTTATACCAAATTTTGTATGGATATCTTAATTCAGTAATGAGTTATGCGCGTTTAAGTGATTTTCGGGAGGGGACCTCGTATGGGAGCTATGACCAATTTTGAACCGATCCAAAAAAATTTTCACAGTAATATTTGTATGCATGTGGGCAATTTTTATACCAAATTTTATATGGATATCTTAATTAAGTAATGATTTATGCGCGTTTAAGTGATTTTCGGGAGGGGACCTTGTATGGGAGCTATGACCAATTATGGACCGATCGGAAAAAACTTTCACAGTAATATTTCTATGCATATGGGCAATACTTATACCAAATTTTATATGGATATCTTAATTTAGTAATGAGTTAAGCGCGTTTAAGTGATTTTCGGGAGGGGACCTTGTATGGGAGCTATAACCAATTATGGACCGATCGGAAAAAACTTTCACAGTAATATTTCTGTGCATATGGGCAATACTTATACCAAATTTTATATGAATATCTTAATTTAGTAATGAGTTATGCGCGTTTAAGTGATTTTCGGGAGGGGACCTTGTATGGGAACTATGACCAATTATGGACCGATCGGAAAAAACTTTCACAGTAATATTTCTATGCATATGGGCAATACTTATACCAAATTTTGTATGGATATCTTAATTTAGTAATGAGTTATGCGCGTTTAAGTGATTTTCGGGAGGGGACCTTGTATGGGAGCTATGACTAATTTTGAACCGATCGGAAAAATTTTTCACAGTAATATTTCTATGCATATGGGCAATACTTATACCAAATTTTATATGGATATCTTAATTTAGTAATGAGTTATGCGCGTTTAAGTGATTTTCGGGAGAGGACCTTGTATGGGAGCTATGTCCAATTATGGACCGATCCAGAAAATTTTTCTCTGAAAGAATTCTATTGACATAAGATTTTAATTTGTAAAATTTTGTGAAGATATCGACATTGTGATGGAAGTTATTAACGAAAAACCCATTTTCCGGGAATATGTACTTTTGTATGGGAGGTATATGAAATTGTGGACCGATTCTGGCAATTTTCTGCACGGATCAAGATCTTGTGTAGAAACGAATGTATGGTGATTTTCATGGAATTATCTTGCATAGTTTTGGAGAAAATTACATTAGAAAGTGTAAAAAATGCTTATTTTTTTCGAGGTTGTTTTAAATTTTGATTCATAACTTTTCCCGATGTGAACCGATTTTGCTCATTTTCAATACCAAACTGTACCGGATAATAATGAATATTTTGGGTGAATTTGGTTAAATTATATTGCTTCGTTTTAACGTGAGCGTGTTTTACACAGACAGACAGACAGACGGACGGACGGACGGACGGACGGACAGACGGACATAGCTAAATCGACTCAGAATTTCATAAGGACCCAGAATATATATACTTTGTTGGGTCTCAGATGAATATTTCTTGGTGTTACACACGGAATGACAAAGTTATATATACCCTCTATCACCACTGATGGTGGTGGAGGGTATAAAAAGATATAAACAAACAAAACAATTTAATAAATAATCATTAAACATTTTCATTAAGTTGGTTTTATTACGGTTTTTATGTTTGAAAAAAATTAGTAATAGATTAAATTAATATAAATTCTACTAATAGAAACAAATGTGTCACAGGATTTTATTTAAATATTTGTATTTTTTTCTCTCTTTTTCTGTGTAAATATTTAATACAAATGGAGTAATTAGATTACTATGAACGACATTAGGGACGAAAGAAAGTTACAGGTAACAACCAACCTGCCCCTTCAATTACCTAATTATTTGCTTCTTCAGAAATCTCTCTTTCTATCTATCTATCTATCTATCTAGCTATCTATCTATCTATCTATCTATCTATCTATCTATCTATCTATCTATTCTATCTATCTATCTATCTATCTATCTATCTATCTATCTATCTATCTATCTATCTATCTATCTATCTATCTATCTATCTATCTATCTATCTATCTATCTATCTATCTATCTATCTATCTATCTATCTATCTATCTATCTATCTATCTATCTATCTATCTATCTATCTATCTATCTCACAAAGTTGAAGAATGTAAAGAAGACAGAATCATGCTGAGTATTAGAAAAGGTGTGGGATCGAGAAATCTTCATTTTTAACAAAGTAATGACAGGAATGAAGTGTCAGGGAGGGAATTTTTTTATTTAAGTTTAAGTTTAATGTTCATATTCACTTAATTTTATTAGAAGTAATCGCAGCTTACGAGCTTCTAAGCCAATGGTTAGCGGTTCGGCGGGAACTTCTTCAGAGGCACTATAAATATTCGCCGGTGTAAAAATGCCATTAACTGAAAATACAAAAAGTTGAAATTAAAAATGGATTTCGAATTTTCACTGTTGCCAATTTAGCTATTTTCTCGTCAAATCTAGCGATTTTTAATCCCATTTTGCGGGGAAAAATATGATTTAGCTATTAGCGGGAAATCTAGCGATTTTTCTTTAGATTTTAAGGCATTTTTATTCATTATACCCTACACCACTTTAGTGGGGAGGGTATATTGGATTTGTGCTGATGTTTGTAACATACAAAAATATTCGTCCTAGACCTTAAAGTATACCAATCGGCTTAGAATCGTTTTCTGAGTCGATTAAGCTATGTCCGTCCGTCCGTCTGGCTGACATGGACAGCCAGCCAGTCCATGTAAATCTTGTGCGCAAGCTACAGGTCGCAATTTTCAAGATAATTGGATGAAATTTGGCACGCACGTTTTATTTGACCCAAGGACGAAGCCTATTGAAAATGGTTAAACTCGGTTCATTATTTCACCTAGCTCCCATAGAACAGAACCCCCCGAAAAGGGTTTCTGAGCTCATAATTATGTTAAATATACAGATATATCGATAAAATACGGCACAACTAAGTTTTATATAAGTCTTGATGACCCTGCCAAATTTCATAAAGATCGGGCCTCATTTGACCCTAGCTCCCATACAAAGTCCCCTTCAGAAAATTACTTGAATGTCCCAAATTAACTTATAAACACAAATATCGCGATGAAATTCACCACAATAAAATATTATGTAAATATAAATATATTCACAAAATTTTATCGGGCTTGGTCCATATTTGCCCCTAGCCCCCTCGGTAAATTAGGTTAGAATATAATTTGTAATTGTATTGTAATGGAAAAATAAAAATTACTTTTATGCCGAAAATAAAGGATCGATCCATAAAGGCCAGCATTTCGAAATTCAATTTATCTTTACAACATTTCTAAAGCAATCTGTTTAGGGTCGCATATCGAAATTAACCTCAACTTGACATTTTTCCTAACCCAAAGTGAAAATATTTAACATAAAAAAAGATTCTCTTATGTGTTTGTTATAAGATGTGTTTGTATCACTATCCCATTCCTACGTATGTATATAGATTTTAGCGATAAATCGCTGACTTTTTAGAATAATATAAAAAATCTGAAAAATTTAGCTAGTTTTTT